TTTTTTTTTTTTTTTAATATATATATATATATATAATTTACATAAAATTTAAGAATATTGTTTTTGTGTTATTTTGAGTACCTTAAGAACGGATTATTTTGGCAATCATTCATTATTTTATTTCAAAAATATCATTTTGTCACATATTTTCTTTTTATAAATTTAGCGTTGAATATTTATTTACAATATTTGAAATAAAAATGGTCCACTCATTAAGTCTTTTTTGTTTATAGCTAAGCGTAAATACAGTAGAATGGATAAACGGTGGATATGGTGTGAAGAATCCCATGTTACAAAGTTCACGTTTACCGGATGTGGACACTACGCCTGCTCCAGCATCGGAACCTGGTCTTTTAACATGCAGAATATGTGGCAAAGTTTGAAAATATAAATATAATTTTCAATTTTATCTGCTTGTTATTTTGATTTTTCGAATGATTTTAATGTTTTCTCAAGTAATTGCGCTTAAAATTATAAACAAAAATAAAACTTTTGCTCTATTTTAATTTTCAAAGCTCTGATATCATTCAAAAGATAGTCAAATATTTAGCATAAATTAGTTATGATGAATTTGATTTTTTTAATTGAATTTTGACTTCATACTTAAAAAAACTTTAATTATAATTTTTATGGTAATTGGAATTTATATATTTAATAAAAATAATTATAATTTTTATGCTAATTGGAATTTATTTCAAGTACGTTTATATGTATTTGAATACAAATATAACTTAAGTCTTTGAAAGCAAACTTTTCTTTGTATTGCTAATTTTATTGCAGAAATTCGCACTGCAAAGGCTTTTGAATAGGCATGCAAAATGTCATTCAGAAATTAAACGATATCTCTGCACATTTTGTGGCAAAGGTTTCAATGATACATTTGATCTAAAACGACACACAAGAACTCATACAGGTATTCATAATAATATTATTACTTTACTTCCAACAAGTTATTTGATCTAAATATATTTTGATCAGAAACAGATATTTGTCCGAAATCTTGAAATAAAATTGATGTATTTAAGAGAAAGTTTGGAAAAAGTATTTTTGTTTTTGAAATTTAGAATCAGTAATAAGCTTTGTGAATTAGTGTTTAAAGTAAAAGCTTTTTTCGATAAAGTTGTTCATTTTCAGCACAGTTTTTGTACTATTTTAAAGAAAGAATTAACTAGAGGGATGTGATTTCAGGTGTACGACCTTATAAATGCGATCAGTGCGAGAAATCGTTCACTCAGAGATGTTCACTAGAATCACATCTTCGAAAAGTTCACGGCACACAGCATAATTACGGCTACAAAGAACGAAGAAGCAAGGTGATGCACTGTATTTAATTATTGTTCTTTCAATTAGTTAGCACATAATTTTATGCTAATTGATTATTGTATGATTGTAAATAACCTAATTTGACATATTTTAAAAGTTTTATTTTCAGTAATTTGAATTTAAAATCAAAACTGTTCTTATTACATTGCGAAAAATCAAAGAGTAATTGTTTATTCAATCTGATTAATTATATATTCAAATGGTACTTAATCATTTAAGTCCGCAACCTATGGAATTATAATCAAATAATGCTTATTACTTTTTCCAAATAATAAGTATTATTTTAATTTTATTTTTCCATAAAAAGTGAGCGAAGATTTTTTTGAATTTAAAAATATCAGTTTTACAAATGAAAGTTAGTGTTAAGTGATAGTTTTGACTTTGTCATTACTATCTTAGATATTCAAATATTGAAAGCAATTTAGTTAAGTGAAAATGAGTGTTAGTCACAAATTAAATTAACAAACTCAATTAAATTATTAGTAACTTTTTTATCAGTTGTGATTAATTTTGTTAATATTAGCCATAATACCATCGCAAAAACTATAAAAAATTTTACTTTTAATGATTAGATGAAATATTGAAAATAATTTTTATCATCCTTGTAATGATAAATTAATTATCATACTGATATTAATAGCACCTAATATGCTACTTCTTCATCCAATACTTATCTGAATTTTACAGATTAAGAGTCTTATCACTGATAATTTAGGTATTCGTCTGCGAAGATTGTGGTTTCACAGCTCCAATATTTGATGAATATGTGCAGCATTTACAGCTCAATCATCCCTTCAATCCACAACTCATAAAATTATCTTCAAACGGCACTTTATCAAAATTTCAGCAATCACTCAACCAGCGATCATATGCTTTAGCTAAAACTAAAATATTTGCAAGTCCGTCTGAATAATCCATCACATTTTTGTACAAATCACTGAAAGGTTGTGCAGTGCGAGCATCTTTTTCAATTTCACTTATATAATAAAAACTTTAAGAAATTCAACAATTCTACAAAATTATTAACTCATTCATTCACTACATACTCTTAACATTCCACAAATATTTGCATACTTTGTTTATCTGAAATTTTTGAATTTTTCGTAGAAACTCATCATATATTACCAATTATAATTGTCATATAAACATTTTAATCTCTTTTAAATACAAATAGTTATAATATAATTATTTCCACAAGTGTGTTATGCGTTATCGTATTTTTTTGGTGTGTTGTGCTTTTATTGTGATTTTTTACCATCAAAAAATGATAAGAAAAAATGCATTTAATTATATTTTATAATTTTGAATATAATTATAATTTTAAATTTGTAATCAATGTTTTCCTCATTAAAACGGTGAAAGTGTAATAATTGTTCAGTACATTGTTTAGCATGAAATTATTATGAGTAAAAACCAATTAAAAATATCAATTTATTAAATCATCAAAAGTTGTGAATGGATTTTCCTCTCTGTACTGGATCAAAAAATCAGCAATAAAAATGATTGGATCAATTGGACGTTGTAGAAGTACCTTAAAATTAAACTATCTATAATACAAATGTTATTTAACTTGATTTAAAAGATTAATAAAATTTTGCTTGATTTGAAAAATATTTATTATTGTAAAAGTGTTGTTTTAAAAACTATGTAAAATAGTATGAAGAAAAAATTAAAAGGGAATTAAATACCTCAGATAGTGCCATAGTAAGTACTGGAGCAACAGTTTTTGCTAGATAGACTTTGTTATTAGCACTCATGCATTCATTTTGATTTGGCAGACAAAATTCAAATACTTGCTTGTCATGTTCATCATAGTCTTCCAAATTCATTGATACGATAGGTGACCTTAAAGTTTAATTTAGATTCAAAATTTAATCTAAATACACCACTGTATAGCATTTAAAAGCAATAAATTCTATCTGTAATGATGATATTTTTAAGAGTAAATATATTTTTTAAAAAGCAGACAAAAATACCCGAAAAACGATAGTGAATCATCACTTTGAGGTGAATTCAGACGAGACGCTTCCTCAATAAATTCCCCTGAAACCAAATTAACATCTTCATCATCATCTTCTTTGATGGATTTTAAATTCATCATTGTATTGCGACGATAGTAATCCACCGTATGCTCTTCCTAAAACAAACTAATCATAAAATCTACACTGAAAATCTTGCTTACTTACGTTTGTTTATCATACTTTTGATGATAAAAAATCACAGCTAATATGATAATATACGACAATTTAATATCACATTTTCAATTTATGAGGATAATATTATATAGATTGATCCAAAAATTTCTTGCGTGTGAATTAAAATCAGTAAGTAATCAAAACTGATTTGTATTAAAAAATGAAACTTTGCAGTAAATATTACGTTATCTGTTGCTAATGGATTAGCTCCAGCTTTACTAAGGATATGCAAATAATGTCCACCATCCCGTGTTGCTGCTGCGTAGTGCATTGGTGTGCGTTTGTTCTGAGATAATTTGTAGTAACTGTATTTTTATTTTTATAATATCACTTTCTTAATTAATTATTCAAGTACTGCTCTAACGAATCTTAATTACCAAACTTTTTTAAGTACTAAAAAATTATTTAGGACAATTCTCGATTTGTATATATTGAGATATTATACTGCTTAATTTCAGTACATATTAACACATTTACATGTTTGTGTTGTTATTTTTGATGCTCTATGATGATTTTAAGCAAGAAAATCTAAGTGATATCAATCAGTTATGAATTATTCGTCAGTATTTACAAGACACAATGCAAGAGTTTATTTCAAAGTACTATTATTACTTCATAAATTGACAAATTGTAATATTATACTTAATTGTTTTCCAAACTTCATAATAATTAATTTAATAATAGTTCAAGATGATTTTTAATTTACTATAAATTATGCAAATATTGAATACTCACATAGTCAGGCGCATTCAAAACAGACGGAAAATTAATAGCAATGTAACGGATTATATCGGTCTGTTCGTATACTATAGCTGTATGAAGCGGGGTAAAACCTCGCCGATTTCGAGCTAAGGCTAATTTTTTCACACTCAGCAATTCCTTGACCTTTTCGAGTTCACCTTTTCTGATTGCTTTATGAATTTCTTTTATTTGTTCCTAAAATTTTAAAATAATTTGCAAAGTATTCCATTCAGGAAACCTAAACTTTATGATCTTTTAACTGTTATCACTTTCTGTTATCATATTCCGAAATTACTTCGTAGACTTTGACATTACTATAAAAATTATTTATAATAATACAATATTTGTGTAATTTTCAAAATGAAGCACAATTCTGAAAACATTTGCATACAGTATGCTGAAGATTATATAGACCAAAATGACTTTTTTCATATGCTACATTTGTTCCAAAAGGATAATTTTTGATAATTTATATAATATGCACAAAATTAAATTGATAAATTCAAAGTTCAAGAATAATATTCGTAATAAATGTTGAAAATTTTTATCAGTGCACATAATCTTTAATTTTAAATTTTTTCAAAAATTCATCCTTTTTTTTTTGATCTAAGATTTGAAACGAATTTTTGAAAAAATTTTGAAGGTCAAAATTTTATTGACATAAAAAAACGAATTTCAAAAAAAGCATAAGGTTAAATACATCTGTATCAATTATCTTAACGTGAGTAAATTGATCAGTTGTACCAAATCCGCAATTTACATGGCTTACAAAAATTTGTTTGAAATTCGTTTCAAATCTTAGATCAAAAAAAAAAAGGATGAATTTTTGAAAAAATTTTGAAGGTCAAAATTTTATTGACATAAAAAAAGTTGATTGTTATTGTACAATTACATAAGTCAGTCAGTCAGTCACATGCATGAGGCATACTGACAGCAATTTTCCGTTGATTATCTTCACTGAATGAAAAATAATAATTGCTAATACTTTGATTTCTTTTTTGTTCTCAATAAGGTAAAAATGATAGATATTGCTTTTTTACCAGTATAAAAAGAGTTATTTTTTTTCTATCAATGTAATGATGCCTTATAATTAGTATGGCACACTTCACTCTCGAGAAATAATCCATCAAAAAATATTCATTTTGGTTGAATACTAAAAATAATTCATCTCACAATGTCACAAATCCCTGTAGCAATAAATTTATTTTTGAGAAAGTGAAAAAATAAAATAGCTAATTTTTATAATTATGCAATTATTTGTTTCTTTGAGTGTCACCAATAATTCAATATAAAAATAAAATATAAAAGTTGAAAAGTATAGTAAAAAAGTACCAAATAATTGCTTAATTTCTCCAAAAAAGCTTTTGAAATTGGATTATTAGTTGAATGACCAAGAAGCAAATCACCACATCCTGATAGCACCAAAAGTTCCAACTTACTTACGTTGCCATCTTGAATCCACTGACGAACGACTGATTCTAAATACGAAGGTGCTACATGTCTACGACTAATCTGAAAATATGAAACTTTAAGTCGAATAAATTAAAAGTTAGTAAATACGAAAAAATTGAATTGCAATTTTTATCATTAAACAAACTTAAAATGTTGTGGAATTTTTGACCTGACAAAACAATACAATAAACTTATTGCAGAAATTTTGATAATAAATTTATTTAAGGATAACATTTTTAGATGATTTAAGTGATTATTCAGACTATAATGACTAATCTTAATCAGTTACTAAAACTATACAATTGAATAAAAAATATAATACTTCTTCTAAAATAACTTCTTTCTGCATTTTCATTGCTTTTAGATCAATTTTTTCTCGATATTTCAGATAATACTTTGGTGGTCGGCCGAACTGTAAGCAGTACAATATACTTGTTTGACAGCAAAATATTTTTGACTTTTCTGATAAAGTTTTATGCTAAACTTCAACGTTATTCAGATTAATAAATTAATGAGTAACGATAAGTAACTCTCAAGATTTTATCAAACTTAGGCAGTTGTCTTTCTATCAGTAACGTATCAGCAAGGAAAAAATTGAGGTCTATTTGACAATTTGGAATAAATCAAATAGTAATTTCAGTAATCACATTAAAATTATCATTTTTATCAACTTTATTAAATAAATAGAAATTATTATGATTATGAATCATAATAGAATTTTTCTTTTTTGATGAATAGCTTACGCAATCACAAATTTCTGGATTGCCTCCAACGTGACGCATAATTTTATATAAATAGCCATCATCACGTAACGCTGCTGCATAATGAAGTGGAGTACGTTTATACTAATACAAAAAAACCAATTAGCAGGAAGTATAAAAAAGAACAATTTGTACAAAAAAGAAGTTCTTTTTTGTTGTAAATTTGCAAATTTATAAAAATTAAATGCTTGGTGAAAATTTTTGAAAATTATTAGTGAAAAGATGATTTTAACAGGAATTTTGTTTCCCTAAAGTTAAATTAGTAATTAAAATAATTTTAGTATAAACTTTATCTAATTTATTAATTTGCTATGAGAATAATCAGATTATTTGTAAATTTCTATTAAACAATAAATCAATACTAAGTAAATTTTCAACGTAAAATTTACTTCATCCATTGCATTTGTTGATTGCGGATAATTTTTGATCAAATACTTTGCAATATCCATTTGACCCAGAAGAAGGGCTTTGTGAAGTGGAATTAAATGCCTCGCATCTCGACAAAATGCCATTTTTTTTCGATCTACTAAGACCCGAATTGCTCGTAGATCACCCATTTCAATAGCCTTATGAGTTGCATCAATTTTGGCCTGAACTTGCATTCAGCTCACATCTACTTCAAATTACCTATGCTACTTGTAAAAGCATCAATTAAGTCACGACCAAATATAATAGCATTATTTTTTTTCAGTGCAAGACAAATGGCACTTTACTTCTTGATAAGACAAAAATAAATGCACACAATTATACTAAGCTAATTGTGCAAACATATGTCATTCATTTTTTAAAATGCACTGAGTCAGAATGCTTTCCTTCCTTCCAGATGATTCCAATTCTAAGAATCAAATTTGCAATTTCATTTCATATGCAATTTATTTGTCAAAAAAGTTACCTGATATTGTGGTAGTACATCAAGAAAATTGAGGGTATCTGGATCGTCAACTTCATGTATACGGCCAACAAGTAAATCGGCATAGCCATTTAAAACTAAATCTTCTAGTTTCCTCACATTTCCAGTATGAATCCAATTTGAAATATCTTCTTCAAGATCTGAATACAAATATTTTTAATTCATTTCAAAATCTAGATAGTCACACAGGATTATTTCTTGTTACATAAATCAAAGAATTAAAAGAAATTAAAATTATTAATCTTATATTTTTTTCTTGCACAAATCAATGGCTCATTTATAACTATTATTCGATAAAATTAACTAACCTTTTAAAAGTGATCTACCCATTTGACCCGAAATGAGTCCACTCAACGTGGCATTATCATTGGCTACTCTTATATGTAAGCGACGTGCGTGAGTACGATAGTAAAATGGTGTGTGACCGAGCTGAATTTTGCATATTATTTCAAATCTGAATGTTTCTTTTACTGATTGATTAACTAAAACTTACTTAACTGGTTATTAAGCAGACTGATTAAAGATGTTATCAGTCAGCTTAATAACCTCAAAAGATATTTATCAAGCATGGATTAACCGCATTTTAACTTATCATATTTATACAATTCGAAGTGTATAACAAAAGAATATGAGATTACAATAGAAAATGTATAATAAACAATAATATGCAGACTTTGTCTTCAATAAAACCGTCAGCTCCAGCTTTTTGCAATTTCTTGATCATATGCTCTCTAGCTGGATCTGCTGCAGCATAATGCAAAGCCGTTCGACCTGCCTTAACCTTTTTACTATTATTACTTCTAGACCAGAAAGTTTTAAAGTTAGATTTTTATTATGAATAATTTAATTAAATAGCAGTTCGTAATTTTCGTTAAATTTATTATGGCATACTTTTTTAAAATCATTTTTGTTTGAAAGATAATTGAAATTGGTGGAGCGGTGTTGATATAAGCAATTCTAATTTGAATTTTATTAAGACAAAAAATATATTTTTTTGAGCTTGTTGTCTTTCATATAATTAAATAAATTAAATTAAATTAAATTATTCCAAATAAAAGAAAGTTTTTGTTGCAAATAATAATTACATTATTCGTAGCATTGACGCAAGAAGGATATTTGGCTAGTAAATACCGAACAGTATTTGTTTGTCCGTGAATTAAAGCAATATGCAAAGGAGTCATACCTATAAAAATATGCGTAGAAATGCTGCAAAAATTAATTGAGACTTTAAATTTAATTATGATAATTAATTTTTACAAATATTATCATGAAATCTTTGAAATTGAGAATTGTAAAATCATACGATTTGATGTCAACTAAGCTAATTAAATAGCTTAATAAATTAATGAGATTTTCTTACCGTATCTGTCACGTGCCGTAGAAAATTCATTTCGATTAATTAATGACTTTAGACGACGAATATCACCATCTTCAACCGCCTTGTGTATTGCATCAATTTTGCTCTAAAAAAAGTGATTCAGCTTTATATTAATTCAAAAAGTTTTAGAAATAAAAATTTGCAACGAATTCAAAAAACATTTTTAAAAAATTAATTAATGACAACCTGATATTTTATTGTTAGTGAGTTTAAAAATTCCGCTGAATTTGGATTAGTAGACGTTTTATTGGCTAGTAAATATCCCTGGCCATTAAAAATAAGCTGTTCGAGATGTTTTATATCACCTTCAGAAAGCCATTTATCTATTTCTGAATCATTTGGAGATTCTAAAACAATGACACTGATAAATGTGATCTGTACAAGTGTGTGCTTGTAATACCTAATGTTTCATTATAATGATTTAAATAACACTTGTAATGATTTAAATTCAATTAATTAATAATTAAGATTTACTAATAAATTCTATTCATGTAATGCAAAAAAAATTTCACGTTTACTATAGAAAAAATCTTGCTCGAACTTGGAGCACTGAATACAAAAAATGTGCTTCAAGCTAAAAAACTTCTGTACAGTTTTTTCATAAACGGATTAATTGATCATCACAGAATTACCAAAAAACTTATGTCAACTTAGAATAAATAATTTAGTCCTTTCTTAGCACATAAAGTGTAAATAGCTTTATCAGATGTGTGTATCGCAAATATGCTGATTAATTTTCTGAAAAACCTGCGATTATTTTGCGTCACTCAAAGTGAATAAGCGTTTTACGTTAATTGCTTGCTAACTTGTACAGCATGGAAGTTCAGAATATTAGAACATAAATTGTGCATTCAAAAACGTTTTTGTTGTCTGAATAATTAGTTAAGGTAACAGCATGTGAAATAGCATTTGAATTTTAACAAATTGCTTACAATCCATACTTTAGAAAAGTTAAACTGATGCATTAACATTTGTCCAAATACCATTCAGAATGCTAGCAAGAAAGATACTAATAACTATTTTTCAAGACAATTACTCTCAAAAATTCTCTCGAAAAAAGTAACTGGATGTATTTTTCAATTAGTTTACCGTATTTTTTTCAGATAAAGACAGCTGACTATAAATTAGATATGAATTTAAAAAAAATTGCTCACGAATATCATCAAAAATTTCATCGAGAACGAAAAGGTCAGAAGTTAATGAGTTAGTAAATAATGGTGAAGGTATTGTTATCATACAATCAGGATTTGCCCGATAATATGCTGCAGATAGTCCAGCCTAGAATATTCTTTGATAATTCATAAAGTTATAAAGTGCAAGAGAAATATTATTATTATTATTATCCTTATTATTATTGTCATTATTATTATTATTGCTATTATTATCATTATCATTGTTATTATTATTATTATTATTATTATTAAGATTATCATTATTATTAAATTTTTTATTTATTTTCAAGCAATATAATATTTCAAATTTATTTCTGTTTCAATTTCTAATTATTTGCATTTTAAAATCATGCTTTCTATAAATATTTTATATGCACGAAAAGTGGAAATGCAAAATTCAAATATCTTTTTGAAAAGAACTTGCTGAAAAATTCAAAAAACGGCGAAGTGAGATACAATTACTTTAATATCTGAGTTATGATTGTGTTGAGATAATAAAGTAAGATTTGAAGACAAAAATGATTAATAATTGAACTGATAGATAAAATCATACCCTGTCAGTGAGAAATTCGTTTGAACCGTAATCAGTCAGAGTATCATAGATGGCATTTTTCTGAACTGCTGCATAATGAATTGCTGCTCGACCTCTCTGGAGAATTTTTTAAGCATTTTTTGTAGATTTATATTTATTTCAGAACAAATTGTAGCGATGATTTGTAGCTTTTGAAATCATACTTAATACTAAAGTAAAGTAATTTACTTTAATACTAAATAAATTACTTAATACTAAATAAATTAAATAATGTAAAAAGTGACTGCAAGATTTAATATGAGCAAATTTATGAATTGCTAGTCTGAAGAACGAGCGCGATGGAAGGTATTGAAAGTGAGCAGAAACTTTTGCAATATCTTTGACAACTTTCAGCTTAATTAATTTTTTTCACTTATTTAATTAAATAAATTTATTTTTCAAAAGAAATAAAAGTTCAAAAATCTTTTGGATAAGTAAAGAATAAACCAACGAGGAAAAAAGCTTTGCTTACTATATCTAAGATATCAATGCTTGTTGGGAAGGTACTCGCCAGATATCCAACAGCTTCATGTCGTTCTTTGCAAACTGCCACATGAATTAAACTCAAACCTGAAATTAAATTTTATTACAATTCAATTCGGAACTGATTACCAGTTTGTCTCACTAATTATTGTCAATTAATAAGCCTTCAGACTTATGTTTGTATTTTAAAGTAACTTAATTTTCATAAGCCTAAGTAATTCTAATGTAACATTTTAATAATTCTTTACTCTGTCTACAAAAACTTCTTTTGGTTCTTATGATTCTGACTTATCTGAAAATATTATTTCATTGACATTTTCAATTATTATTCCTTTTTATAAGCTTTTCGAGAGAAAACATCTCTTCGAGACACAAATAAAATTAAAATCAGCTTATAAAACAAAACTTCTGAATTTTTGGCTTCGATTAAATAGTT